AAAACCAGTTAGAATCAGAAAGGCAAGACAAACCTTCATCACTGTGAAATCAGTTTGGAAATCCTAAGCACTGCTGCAATCAGCATTTAAGAACAAAATATGGATTTCAACACCAATATTAAATCAGTCAGTTCTGTTCTGATATATGGGTCAGAAACTTGGCGAGCGCGTCACCAAAAGCATTTCCAACAGGCCACTGCAGACTTTTATCAACAGCTTCCCACGTCACTGACTCCATACTGAAGATCAGATAGCCGGCGAGAAAGAATTAGAAACAAGAAACTCTGGGAACGAATCAATCAAGAACCCATTGCTCAGTAGATATATGGGAGAAAATGGAAATGGATGGGACACACGCTGGAGAGGTCATTGATCGACATCGCGCTCCAGACTAACGCCCGCGTGGAACCCGGATGAGAAACGATTAGTTGGGCGTATTTCTGAGGGTGACATGTAGGAGATCGTGTGTAGAGGAAATGAGGGCTTATGGATAATCGTAGGGCCAGATAGAGAGGACTGCAGGGAACGGGACGAAATGAAGATGTTCTGTTGAAACCCTATGTTCTACTCGGAACCCAAGGGAACAGTAATAGTAATAGTAATACACACGAGGAAAGCTTCTCTTCACACGATCTCCTCCAGGTCACCCTTCGACATCCCACTCGCCGCTTCTCTTTCGGGTTCCACTCGAGCTATGGCCTGACGCGCGATGTCACCCAGCGGCCTCCTTAGCTCAGCGAGTGTCCAATCCATCTCCACTTTCTCCTGCATATTTGTTGGGCGATTGGATCTTCTTTTGTTTGTTCCCATAGTTTCTTGTTGGTTGTTGTTCTTTCCTGCCATCTGATCTTCAGTATAGAACGAAGACAGTTGTTGATAAAGGTGTTCAGCCTGTTGGAAATATTCTTTGTGACCTACCAAGTTTTTGATCCGTATAGAAGAACTGAGTTGACGTTGTTTGTATTGAAAATCCGAATTTTGTTGTTGATGCAGAGTTGAGTGACGAAGATTTCCATATTCGTTTCATGTTGATGAATGTGTTTCTCGCCTTCCCGATTCTCGATTTGACATCCTCGCCTGTTCGTCCTCCTGTAGATGAGGCAATGCTCCCTAGATAAGTGAAAGAAGTAACCTCTTTCAAATCCCTCCCGTTGATGGTGATTGGCGCTGAATGTTGCTGCTACTGTTGTTGTTGTTGTTGTTGGTTGGTTATTTTCATAACCTCCGTCTTGTGTATGTTCACCTGGAGTCAGTGCTGTCTTTGCTGCTTCTTCGACCAGTTTGTCGGTTTTCGCTTGTAAGTCTTCGATTTTGTGTGACATCAAACATAAATCATCCACGCGCGAAATCCAGGTCTTCTAGGTTCTTCACGTCGGTTCAGGATATCCCTGTCTTCTCGTTTCCCACTGTTTGACGCATAATGCAGTCCACCACAATTAGGAATAACATTGGTGATCATAAGCACCCTTGTCTGAATCCTGTGTTTACTCCAAAAACCTCACTGAGTTTTCCGTTGTGGATTATTTGACATGTGCCGTTGTCGTACGGCTGTTGAATAAGGTTAATGAATATATGGGGTACGCCGTAGTACTCGAGTAGTTTCCAAATTACTTCGCGGTCAACGCTGTCGAAGGCCTTCTCAAAGTCTGTGAAGTTGAGGTAGAGGTTTGATTGCCATTCCATGCTTTGTTCTGTGATGATGATGCGTAGAGTTGCAATTTGGTCAGAACATGACTTGCCTTTCCTGAATCCAGCTTGTTCTGGTCGGAATTCTGCATCCAGTGCGTCCTTGATTCTCTCCAGGATGATGCGACTCAGGATTTTACTTGGCGTCGACAGGAGCATGATTCCTCGCCAGTTCTTGCAGAGTCCTAAGTCGCCCTTCTTTGGTAGTTTCACCAGGTAACCTTTCCTCCAGTCAGTAGGCACCTTTCCCTCTTTCCAGATTTTTTGCAATAATGGAGTCAGCATATCTGCCGTCGTTTCTGGGTCCGCTTTCAGTGCTTCCGGGGGTATTCCATATGGTCCAGCTGCTTTTCCAGCTTTCAGAAGCTTGATTGCATTCATGACTTCAGTTTTCGTTGGAGGATTGGTGTCAACTTGCAGTTGTGTACGTGCTGTTATTGGTATTACTGGACGGGCTGCAGGTGGTGGTCGGTTCGAGAGTCCTTTGAAGTGGTCCGCCCATTGTTTAATCTGTCTTTCTTCTTTGGTAATTGGGTTCCCTTGGCTGTCTTTTATGGGTTTCACTTGTGTTGATCTCTTCCCGGAAAGAGACTTGGTTATCCGATATAATAATAGTAATAACAATTATAAAGGTAGGGGTTGTATTCCTATGTATTCTATATGTCTTCCAACTAAACTCTATTGTGTGCTTCGTTTATGCAGTCTTGCAGAGAACAAAAACATAATAGGCGGGATTGTACTGTTGCTACATTATCAGAATTTGTTACTTTTTTTTTCATGTTTTTATCTTTTTACTAGAGTACCCACCTATTTTTTTTCGCCTAAAGTATTACTATTATTAGTAGCAGTAGATGACTCCCGAAATATACCATTTGTTTTTGAAGTGTGTTTTTTTCTCTCATTTTCAATGATTTGACAACTATGGAAATAATTCACCTTTTTTGTGTTTCTTCAATGTACTGTGTGTCACATGTCATAAACATTCATTTGATGTAAATCTAACATAGAACCATCCAGCTCAGAAAACACAACCACACCAAAATAGAATGTTACTATTCTTAAACGGATCAAATAGTGCTTCATTCTTTACTACTACTACTACTACTACTACTACTATATTTGGTACCCTAACGGTACAAGACAGTTAATTTTTGTAAGGATTTGATTTGTTTCTTCAAGTTTAACCACGAATGAGACAATACTGTCCTGTCTGTCTGTCTGTCTGGATTCAACATAGAACTTACCACCGAAGTGCAGCAGTTCGAGTTGCCACGTTCCAAATAGAACACAAAGGTAGACAAGAAGATGAGTGGTGAAGAGAATCAATAGAGTTTTGACAAGTATAAGAGTGGAACAGAATGAGTAATGGTAGAAAGGAATATTAAAGATTACAGAGACTGAATCCATCTGTGTAAGCCATTGACAACGATTTTGAGCCATGTCACCTATTCTCTGTCTCCACCCATTGATTCTTAGAGTCCCGAGGGCGGGCCCCAACCCGGAAGACTGAATCTCCCTCCCTACCTGACTCAGTTTAACTATCAGGGATTTCATGGATTGATGAGGCCATGTTTTGTTTGGCCAACACTTACTCTTTTCCAACCTGCACCTCTATCAGTTAGTAATGCCCGTCGGGAGGGGGAGGCGATGGGTAGGCATGGGCAGCACGTGACCACCTAGCCATCTCAATCTATGTAACTTTATGGCCTCGTCGATTGATTTTCCCTCTTTGCCCAACCCTCTACGCCTAACGTCAACATTACTTACCTTATTATACCACCTAACGCGAGAAAGAGATCGTAGACATCTATGATCAAAAACAGTCAACCTTTTCATGTCTTCAACTCATATTGGCCATGTTTCAGAGCCATAGAGAAGGACGGAGCGAACTGCTGAGAAGTACACACGTCCCTTGGTTGATAACCGGATGTCACGCCTACGCCGGAGACGGTGTAAGTTAGAGAAAGCAGCCCGAGCTTTTTGGATCCGTGCTGAGATTTCGTCACCAATCAGTCCGTCGGAGCTGATACAACTTCCCAAATAGGTGAAGTGGTCAACATGTTCTATCACTTCACTCCCTATCACTAAGCTAGGAGTTGACTTAGTCCAGTCAAGTCCTGTAGCAGCATCTTACATTTTACAGGGGTGAATCGCATGCCAAACCTACGAAGATTGCTGCTCAAGGTGTTCAGAAGACTCTGCATTTTGTCAGCATCCTCCCCTAACAGGACTATGTCATCTGCATATTCTAAGTCCATAAGACTATTCCGTGGTAACAAGTCGATTCCTAAGTCGTTAAGTTCAGTTAAGGATACTTCCATTAGCATATCTGTGATGAAGTTAAACAGAAATGGGGAAAGTGGACATCCTTGACGGACACCACTGGTTGTTGGCTGTATCTGATAGCCAGTCGAGCCACCGATTCGAACTATCTCTCAGACCTCAACCAGGAAGTCGTGACGCTGTACCAAGTGATGCTGACCTAACATAAATATCCTTCATCCCACGACGTCAAGTCATAGGCTGACCACCTCTCCTCTTCCTTCCATCCAGTCGCAGGGCTAGAGAACCGAGACCGGTACGTAAGCATATATCCAAGTTACCTAAGTCGGTGTTTCCAGGTGACAACACTCAACGAACGGTGATCTCCACTGTGTCCAAACACTTGCTGCCGTACCTCAGAATTACTCACACGATGAGACCGTGGAACGCAAGCAAGTTTACCGAGATAGCGACGGTCGAATACACAGATTCGCTCCACATCCTCAGATAGAAGTCAAGTTTCACCAGCGTAAAGCAAGACTGAGCGCACCGAAGCATTGTAAACGCGACCTTTGACAGTTAGGCTAACGTCGAGACGGCGCCAGAGGTGGCCCAAATTGGCGTATATCACCCTACCTTTCACTACACGGTTAGGAATGTCGTCCATCACACCTCCAACAGCACTCACACAACTACCTAGATACACGAACTTGTTAAAGTGATAAGCCGCATTAATATGAGAAATCTATGGAAAAAGCTGGTCCTGGGTTCGAACCCCGGTGGGTGCGTACTGATGAAGAGTCCTGGACTGGGACGAAACAGCTGTCTAGTACTCCCGGGTTTTCCAGTGGTTCTCTAACCAACGTCAGTTCATGATGAAATCCTGTAACCAATCAACAAAATCCCTACAAACCAATACTTGAAAAAAGCTCAGCTATAACAACACTACATGTAGTCACAAACACACATAGTAGGATATACATACTTCGAGGACACTTTTAAAAAGTATTATGTAAAATTCTATTTTTAGTAAAAAAAAGCATCATACTTACATCCATATATTTTTTGATTATCTGATCGACATCACGATTAACAAAAGGTTGTAAGAATTTGCGTAACAGGCGCAAGGTTGGTTTTGCGTCTAAAACAAGTCCAGTATGCCTGAAATAAATATTTAAAAAATGAGTTTTAGACAATAAGATCAATGACATTAACTTTACAATAATGTTATTCGAATACTTTTTAAAATTTTTATTCCTAGACGTTCCCAGTGGTGGAACATAGGGCTTCAAGCTACAGTCGGCGAGCATTCTACCGCTGTGTCACCGACGGATTATTCCAATATAGTTTGATGTATATGAGTTTTACTTACTGACATGATAGAAGGCTGTGGAACCTCTGATGCAATTTAATTTATAAAATCAATGCGCTCATCAGTTTTTTTAAGTGTTTGATAGCAGTAATTGTGTGGAACCTATGAGGAACTCTCTGAATACACCAATGATGATACAAGAAATAGATTCAACTGTAAAGCCAAAACAAGAGGTGAAAGATCGGGAAGATTATTTCCCAAACAAGATTGAAAAACTGGTTCCCAATAATTAGGAGTTAAATGCGTTTTCTGTGGCATTTAGTAGGATTCTTGTAATGAAGATAGGTATGTGGTGAGTGCTACTTATAATCCGACATAAGTAGTATATCAGAAACGAAGTAACAATATGTTTGGCACACTGGAAAGAGCAATCAAAGAAGAGAACCATGAGAAGAATGTTGCCATATGATGCAGAATCCAAAAAGCTATCGAATGAGACGATATTCGACCAATTCGTCAAGGATGTGGTAAATGATGTGCAAATGGCCGGTTGAGAATATGGTATACCAAATTTAGCTATGTACCATACGTTTCACCAAATAAACATTCCTTTCAGCCTCCTCAGTCTTGTTTTCTTTACAGGTATACCTATTATTCCTGTGAAATATCAATTTTATAGAAGAATCAGCTAAGGATGCGATTTGAACTATCATTGCAAGAGTGAGACTGACTGACTGACTGTCTTCAACATAGACTTTTGCGCAGAAATGCACCAGTTCAACTTGCCACACTCTGTATGGTACGTAAAGGAAGACAAGAAGAGAGATTTAAATGAACAATAATAAGCAGAAATGTGAGGAAGAAAGAAAAGTAACATGGTGGATCACAAAGGATGAAGAATACAACTAGGCTATTCACAGCGATTTTGAGCCATATCACCAATTGCCTCCAGCCATTGACTTTTAGCTTCCCAAGAAACCTTACACCTCCCCTATGTGGCTGGCTCAAACCGATTGGAAAAGATTTCATGAAGTGATTTCAAGGTTTGGTTTGATTACAACACTTGGTCTTTTCCAGCCTGTTTCTATGTCAGCTAACATTGTCCGTCAAGGAAGCTTTCATACTTTAGTGATATCAAAGCCCTACGTCTAATGAGCATAACATTAAACATAGTCATAATTCGAAAGATAATTAAGAACAATCTCACAACTGTCATCTTAGTAATTGGCTGTGTTAAAAACAGAATTATTTAATTTCACATCAGTATGATATTCACTCGAATGACGGAATATTTAGATTACACTATGAACAGTTAACGCCTGACTTCATTACAGCAACCTAATTTAATTAGAGGTTTACAATTGAACATCAGTTTGCATTTATTTTCAGTACAGTGTTGAGTATACGTGAGTAAGACAAGCTGGCTGGCCTACTATCTCCAAAGATTTTCCTGATTGCGGTAGATTGGATAATGCGACAGACAGTGGGCAACGAGGAAACAGGCATAAAATGGACCCACACAAAAACTTTGGAGGATCTGGACTTCGCCGATGATATATTTATATCTGATTTCCCACAAACTGGAAGATAGGCAAGTGAAAAGCAACAACTTGGTAGAAGAAGCATCAAGAGGAGATTGGACTTTTTTCAGGTGAACATAGAGAAAACAGAGGGGACGATGAAGATTCCTGGCCAGTAGCGACAGCAGTAGCAACTACATCAGACAACAATCAGCATAAATGGGAGGAACCTGAAAGAAGCAACCTCCTTTACCTGCCCACCTAGGGAAGCATCGTTCCAACTACAGGCGGATGGAACTGATGAGGATACCAAAGCGAGGTTCGGGAAAGCAAGGCAAGCTTTCATTACTCTCAAGTCTGTGTGGAGGTCAACAGCACTCAGCATGAAAATGAAAATAAGAACAGGATTTTCAACTCCAATGTGAAGTCAGTGCTACTATCGGGATTGGAGACATGGCGCCGCGTCACGAAGGGCACTTCGAACAAACTACACACCTTCATCAACAGCTGTCTTCGCCCAGTACTCAAGATCAGATGGCCAGAAAAGATCAGCAATAGTGAGGGATCTCTGGGAACGAACCAACCCAGCAGGAACCGAATGTGCAAGAAATATGCAGGAAGAAATGGAGGTGGATTGGCCATACTCTGAGAAAGCAAATCATCAAGTGACATCACACGACAGGTCATCATTTGAGTGGATCCCTAATGGGAAGCGGCGAGTTACTCGTCAGTGCGAAGGTGGAGTGACATGGAGGAGGTCGTGTGAAGAGGAGATGAAAGCAAGTGGTGAGACATGGGCTAGGTGAAAACGTTGACAGAAAACCGAACGCAATGCAGACGTTTGGCTGAAGCCCTATGTTCCTCTAGGAATTAAAGGAAACAATAATATAATAAAACACTCAAATTCCCCTTGAGAGATAGAGTACATAAAAAAAATGGTTAAATGTGTTGGATATATTGTATTCCACGAAAGAAAGAAAGAAGCGAATGGTGTCTCTGTTGTTCTTATGACTATAAGTGAAAAGATTAAATGTGAGTTATAATACTGATACAAATATGTCAATCCTTCTTATATGGCGATTTGTTTAAATCAATTGGGCTACCAGAATTTCCATCCATCAGAAGTGCTGCTTAAACTCTTCAGCATTTCTTATTGTTTAAATCATACAATTTATATAGAATGTTCGCTACATCAACTCGCGCGCATATTCAATTAGCTTTCAACAAAATGCTGTACAATTCTTCAAGGAAATGACGAAAATATGCAACAAACATAACTAACCAAATTGGAGAAAATTAATCTGATGCTAGCTAGTGACGTACTACAGGATGCAGTTTCCTGGAGTTCTAGTGAGAAGCCGTGACCAGTGAGGTCCATCCAGATGTTACGTGTGAGGATGGATATCCCACCTACGACATTGGTTGGGGTCGCGCTAAATCACGAATTGGTAGAAGTTAGAATTCATGCACTGGCCGTTGAATCAGGTCCCAGTGGCTGAATGATATACGAGTTAGTTTGCCTTGTAACCGGAAGGTCCTGGTTTCGAATCCTGGTGGTGGGTGCGTACTGCCGATGATTTCCAAAGTACTAGGATGAAACAGCTATCCAGTACTCCCTGTGGCTGGTTTTCAATGGTTCTCTAACTGATATCAATCAATCCGTGATCAACTCGTAAAAATACATAACTAACCCTTACACACCAAACTATAGAAAACTAAAATTTCTAATATTTTCTGATTATATAGTGAGAGATAAATAGAGAGAGAGAGTACTTTAAAAAAAATAGAGCCAGCTAAATATACATGACTTACTACATGTTTAATTTGTAGCAAAAATGAAGAGATCGAATAACATATTCATCACAATGTTGTGCACAGATAGATAGAAAAAAATTAAAGGATTATGCTTTCACTATTGTTTTGTATTATCACGTATATACGTTGGTGACGACGGTATGACTACACTTTTATGTGGGCGTGAATGGATGTGAGCTTTACTGCCAAAAAAATTAACTTAGCTTGCATATATATATATATATATATATATATATATAGTATTTTATATCTTGGCTTTGAGTCTCTTTGTAATGTTCTTTTAGGGAGACAGTTACAATTAGCAATAATAAAGCCTTATTTCAGACATTGTGTGAACACACATAGTGTACAGAAATTTTCAGCGTATTTAGTTCTGAAATAATCCCTCTGCATACACGATTATTTACCTGTAAAGTAATGATCTGAAGTATACCATGTGACATAATATTGTTTTCTATAGTTTGGTTTGTAAGGGTTAGTTATGTTTTTACGAGTTGATCACGGATTGATTGATATCAGTTAGAGAACCATTGAAAACCAGCCACAGGGAGTGCTGGACAGCTGTTTCCTCCATCCTAGTTTCTTTGAGAATCATCGGCAGTACACACCCACTACCAGGATTCGAACCCAGGACCTTCCGGTTACAAGGCAAACTAGCTCGTATACCATTCAGCTGCCACTGGGACCCGATTCATTTTATATTTCTGTACTTTCACACTTACACCAAAGACTGATTCAATTTGCTATATTATTCTATGTTAGCTGGAATATAAGATCAACATATATAAGATAATTCCTGACCATATTCTTTATCATGTATTATTGAAACATGTAGTCAAAGACGATAAGTAAGTATAACTCAAAATCAACCACAAATATCTCTGTGCATAGGATGGAGATTTGTGCAAACCTACCAGTATTTAAAAGCTCTGTGATAATGATTCACAACAAGTGGAAAATTCAACGACGCCTATGGTGTGAAGAAAGGAAAAAAGACAGGGGGCTGCCTGCTCTCACCAATGATATTCTTGATTGCAGAAGACCAGATTCTACAGAAGACTGAGCTTCGGGGGGCGAGATGGCAGGAATACGTTGGACAGATAAGAAGAAGACTCTAGAAAATCTTGACATCGTAGATGATTTATCTCTAATATCACATAAACTCGAAGACTTACAGGCGATAACCAATAAGTTGGAAGAGAAGGCAGGCAGCAAAGATATGACTTTAAGAAGAAAGAAGTAATGAAGGTAACTAACCAACAACAACAACAACGACAACAAACACCAGTCACTGTCAACAGAAGACATTTAAGAGAGGTTACTTTCTTTACTTATGTAGGAAGCATCATTTCAACTACAGACCACAGCACGGATCACGATGTCAAAACCAGTCAGAATCGGAAAGGCAAGGCACACCTTCATCACTCTGAAATCACATTGAAAATTTTCTACACCCCACCGCATAAATAACAAAATTTGGATTTTCAAAACCAATGTTAAGTCAATCAACACAT